CTCTAAAGAGAATATCCATCTTCAATGAAGATGGATACATTGTTGGCTTTGATAGAAATGCTCAGTGGCTTGTAGATTACAAGGCAGACCCCCAGCAGAAATTTATAGCGTAGTCTGAAGTTTTTTCCTACCTATAGATTTTTTCTACCCGAGTTAACTGCGCATGCGTACATCGGCCAGTAGCAGAAATTTATAGCGTAGTCTGAAGGTTTTTCCTACCTATAGATTTTTTCTACCCGAGTTAACTGCGCATGCGTACATCGGCCAGTAGCAGAAATTTATAGCGTAGTCTGAAGGTTTTTCCTACCTATAGATTTTTTCTCCCCGAGTTAACTGCGCATGCGTACATCGGCCAGTAGCAGAAATTTATAGCGTAGTCTGAAGGTTTTTCCTACCTATAGATTTTTTCTACCCGAGTTAACTGCGCATGCGTACATCGGCCAGTAGCAGAAATTTATCGCGTAGTCTGAAGTTTATTCGTACCTGAAGTTTTTTCCTACCTATAGATTTTTTCTCCCCGAGTTAACTGCGCATGCGTACATCGGCCAGTAGCAGAAATTTATAGCGTAGGCTGAAGTTTTTTCCTACCCGTAGCGTACATTTATTGCCATATCTGACATTTGTGTTCAGGGTGGTAGCACATTACTATAGACATGAAATCGCTATAAATACATACAATACTCTCAGGGTTTAGGGTAGGACTTTATTTATGTTCTTTACATTTACCTTTACATCTGAAACCAGAGGGAATGTAAAAATGTTATCCAATGCAGCACATACTGTAAAAGAGAAAATAATCACGCTCAATCTAGGATTTTTTAGCAAACTGTTTTTTTTTTTGTTTTTTTTTACAAATAGTAACAGAAAGGATCATAATATATAATAAAGAATATTTGGGTTGATTTAACATGAGTTTTTTTTTAGCTATTTTCCAGTAAGATACAGGCTATGTCCATCCATTCACTGACAGAAGTTTCCACTCAGAAGGCATTCTTCAGCGTACTGTAAATTAATTATGAATGTAATTATGTGCTTGATTTGGTACATTATCTACATAATAACACGTTCTTCTAGATACATAATCTTTACAATTAAATACTATTAGCTTAATCTTCAAAGTACATAAACATTAACTTGTAGTGAAATAGTACCTTCAACACTAGAACCCCACACAACTGCTGAAATCCAACTGTGTGTTGTGGTCCATGGTGTACACTGTCCACACATATTTGGATTCCTCCCTCGACCTGTTCCTCAGGAAGTTTCTATTACAGCATTAAAATGATTGTTTTAAAACCTTTTTCTCTCTCTTGAAAAAATGTATCTATGAAATTATTCTACATATTACCGCCAGTTCCTCAGGATCTTCCTGTTGTAGGCATCCTCATTTCCCATTGAGTCAATTACAGTGAGGAACTTCTCTGCCATGTTCACAACCTTAAGTAAAGTAATTTCATATTTCATATCAATAAACAGGCTGTATACGGACTTCCTTTACTATGCTTAATGGTTACGCTACAGAGTCTTGCACAGCCTGCTTAATTTGTTCCAGCTGAGACTTCATTTTTAAATATGTCCACATAACAAAAGAGAAAATCTGTCAAAGTA